GACTCTCCAGCAGACCCACCCACAGTCAGAGAGGAAGACACAGAACAGGTGCATTGTGCTTGGGCTCCGTGCTTCTCGTCTCTCGTCCTACACAGGTGAACCCACGGGACTTGGCCTTGCAGGGAGCAGGCTAAGGAGGGACATGTGCAGTAACTTCCTCTGGCTTGGAGGAGACCCATTTTCCTAATAATAATAAGAAAAAATCAGCAAAAATGGATATATTGAGTCAAAAATCTAACATACTTGCTTATAAATAACTGGCATTAAATACTTCTGCTTACTCATCGGGGGCCTTCCAGAGGCTCCTGTTATGATCAGCAACACCACAATGATTTCATTTTCCTTTAGTGAAATCACTATCCTTGCAGACAGCGTGGTTTTCCCTAGTTAGAATTTACTTGTTCGGCCAGAGATGTGATGCATTGTTCCAGCATTCACTTACGGGGATTGTGCTGGACTGAGGTGGTGCAGCTGGGAATGGGGCTGCCTGAGGGCGGGGTGGGGGGCACTCAGTGTCTCAGAAGTGGATTCATCCTGTGCTAGTGTGTGCAACACTCAGGCCAGGGACGGTGTGTGTGGGCCCTCTGCTGAGTCGGAGTTGTTGCTGGTGGTGTGCGGGGTAACAAAACAACAAATAAGTGAGTTGTATTAGGTCCTGCCACCCGGATGATGACCAATTTAATTAGCACTTCCTTCCAGAATGAGAAAAGGTGTATCAATGATAAGGTTTGCACCTACAAAAAGACCTGGGTATTCCAGTGTCTGCAGCACAAAATAAGCAAATAAAAAGCTGAACGGAGACGAATAATAAAAGCTGATTGTGTTTCCTTCCTCTGGGGGGGGGTGGTGGAAACGTGTTTCTGGAATACAGCGCATCAGTGGATTTACACTTAGTGTTGAAATAAAACAGTCCAGGGAGACTAAAGGAGAGTGTTTGTTTTTTGTTTTTCCCTTCACTGTGTAGGCGGAGAAATTCCTTTAAACCTGTTGATTTATTTTGCCTCATCTAAGAATTACAAGTGGAACACAGCCTCCTGCGTTTGCTGCATTATAAATTCTCTCTTCACATCCAAGAAGACAATGGAAAACTTGAGTAAGAAAATACTAGACGAACAGCCTGGCTTATCTGCAAAGGTTTTACTACTTCTGGAAACAATAAATAAATAAACAAACTTGACCTAAGTTAATGTAATTTGGAGACACATGCTGTAATTTAAATATTTAATGCAGATTCACAATGGCCGAGGATTTCAGGTAATGAAACCTTTCTTGGGAAAGGGGCTGCATTTTTTCAGTTTGCTGTTTAATGCATTTTACAAGGCACTAGATCCAACACAGCTCTCATGAACACATTAGAAGGCAGGGCATGTCTGGATTCGAGAGGCGGGGGCTCCTCTCTGTGCTATTCAAAAACCACGTTTGCTGTGCAACCCTCTTTATAAGGCTCTCCATTATACCACGTCATGTTCCCAAGACCACAGCCAGTGCGGCCTGGCCAAACGCCCAGGGTGTCTGTGCACCCCCCGGGGGTGGCACGACCACAGGGCTGCCTCCCGCGTGGTGTGACGTTGTTCCACTGGACGACTCTCGGGAAAGGAGTCGAGATGGGCACAGGCTTGGTGTCTTTACATAATCAAAACATTAACTTTGCCATGGACGCGTGGATTCAAAAATGCCACTGTTAAAAATCGTTCACTGCAGAGGACAGATCACTCCGTTTGATTGAAATCTATAACTGTTCTGGTATACAAACCTGGAGTTTTAGTAACTGTTTCATTAACTTCTCTCACTCCTTTACCTACAAGTAAAAAGACAAATTATCATTTTCAAGAGCACTTAACGTTTGAATAAGGTTGAAAAAAATGTCAAATTGAAGCACTTTTCCTCTCTTCAGAGTCTGTACAAAGTATGAGTACCCTACACAAACGCATCTTGAACCCAGATATTCCCGGCAGGTGGGCAGGCGGCGTGTGCAGAGGGCAGAGCCTCTCTCGCACAGGCACTGGCCACTGACGGGGCTACACAGAGAGCCTTGCAAACAGGGTGGCTGGGGCCGGCTTTTCTTCTTTTCTGTGATATCCTACTGGGGAGATCCTGCCCCGAACTGAACGGTAATAGCTAAAGAATTAAGACTTTTTATAACTCTCTTAATTCTCCAATCCCTCACCCAAATCGGTGACCGCACAACTTAATGTTGAAGGGCATCAGCTTATTTCCACGGTGCCTAATGTGGCCACGTTACATTTAACTCACAATCCCTCACCCTGCCAGTGTTCTATCAAGCTACCAATCACCATTTTTCAAAGTCGCAGTCCGGACAGGAAAGGTCATGGAAGTACATGTCTTCGCAGATGACAAAAGGGCTCCAGGATCTAAAGCCAAAGCCACTCACTTTATGAGAACGCATCTCTGCCGTTTATGCTGTTCGTGTTCAATGTGCGCCTAATCTCCGTTTGGCTGGGCACAGGTGAAGCCTGCTCTCACCAAAGCTGACCCAGAGGGATTACTCTCGTTAGCAAATTCACGCATTTTTGAGTAATCAATGCATCATTTCCATGCTGATTACTTTCACAAATTCAGAGAGAAAAATTGGCATCAAAAACACATAGAGATATATTCTATCACCAGATGATGTGGAACGTTAAAAATGTACAGACAGCTTAATTTAAACACTCTCAGATGTTTGGTGGTATTTGTCCCTTCTAATTTTTAAGGACAGACTTTTCTGAAAATACATGATGCGCTACTTTCCTTTTGAGGCAGGGAGGTCTCCTTCAACCAGGTCGCTTTTCTCTTAAAGCATCATTACAACACGATGCGGCCTACATGCTTCCTGTGTTGTGCCTTCATGAGTCAGCCCTCACTAGATGCGCACACACACAGCTGGCGCACCTCGGCGTGGTCCCGGCAGTGGGAGTCAGCGGTGTCATTCCCACAGCCCGGTGCGTACGCATCCATCGCATCTTCAGCCTGGACACCTGCCTCGCGGGCAGCACGCGCTCCCCCCGCACTTCAGGAATATATTCCACTCCCTGGGCGGTGACTTACTTTTACAGACAGGTGACTTCCCTGTCCATTTCATATCTGCTTTACACGTCCTGTGCTCTGATCCACCTGCAAGGAAGAACCCTGGGTGGCAGGTGTACACCAGGGTGTAGCCAAACGTGGGGAGATCAATGGCTCTCACGTCGGCGTGTGCGGGGGTCTCTGGCTGTCGGCAGGCATGAGCTGGAAAAGTACGGATTCCGTTAGGAAACCCAGAAGCTCTGTTCATTACACAGCTAGCACAAGTCAATGGGGGCAAAGGCGCCTGAGAATGGAAGTAACCACGAGGGTGCTGTGTGTGTTGCCAATTTCTGCACAGAGACCTGGAGTGGAGGTTATAGCTTGAAATAAATGTAACACTTCTGATATGCTATTCAGGTACAGAGTGTGTTGAATATCCTTAAAAGGCCAGTCCTATGAGACACACGCACACACATACACACACACACACACAGATTGGCACATACTTAGAAATTTGCTTGATTTCCAGAAAATTTATTATTCAATTAAATTAATGGAAAAATTCAATGTATATCAATAAATTCACAGTATTTCCTTTAAAAATATAATTTAGGAATAAATGAGGTTGTAATGCTTATTTTATTTGAAGGATCTTCAAGAATTAATGAAAAAGTCATGTTATTTTTTAATTCCAGTTTCACATGAATTTCTTGAAGGCCCCTAGTATCGCAAATAACTTCATTCTTTATAAAGTTCACGCGTGTGTCTCAAATAAAGGATCTGGGAATTACGAAGCAGGTTTACAGCTTTTAAATGGTGAATGCAGTTGCTTGAAGTATTGTCAGTATTTCATACTGCAGCAAGCATTCAACTGCCAATCTAATGAGGCCCTGGTATTAGGATCTCTGCTACGCACACACATGCTTATCCTATCCATATCTAGTTTGAGCACTCCGTGGAGAACAAGACAGTTCTGAGGGGAACACATGCCTGATGATACAAACACACACCAAAGGACAGCGTCTGTCACACTGTTCCTCCAGCAGTCTACCAACGTGCTCGTGACTGACGTAGGGGGAGTGAGGCACTGCATCTCACTACAGTCACAGCTGACGGGAGGAATGGCTGACCCACTAAGCTTACAGGTAGCTTCTTTTTCTAATTCTCGTAATGAATTACACAATGAAATTTGATCTTTAAATAAGTTTATCTACTCATGTACAGCTCAGTCCTAGAGCAAGAGCAGCCATGAGAGCACGCCCACTGGCATCTGGCACCCGTCTCCCGCGTGGCCACCTCTCTGCTCACCTGACGCCAAGGTGAGCGGTCACGGCACGCACAAGTGAGCTCTCTCCAGAACGGCAGCTGTGTCACTCACTCATCTCGGTTTCCAGCCATTTCTCAGACTGAGTGGGCCTCGTGTCACCTGGACAGCTTGCTAGACTATCGATGCCCTCTGGCCCTCGGCCCACCCACCCCTTCCTCCGGAGTTGTCTGACAGGTCTAGGTGCCTTGAGAACCAGCAGTTACCACAGACTCCCCGCAGGGCCGACACTGCTGTCCTGGGAGCCCAAACTTTGAGAAACACCCGGAGGAGGGGATGACGGCATCACAACAGGCCAGGTCCTCCTGACCCGTGAAGGTGGACACTTCCCGGACCTCTGGCATACCCAGCTCCTGCCACCAGCAGGGAAAGGGACCCACTTACGGATGCACTCTGTCTGTATCCCGCTCCACGTCAAATTGGCCAGGCAAGTTCGAGTCGTAGAGCCTTGGATATGGTAGCCTTTCCTGCACCTGAAGAACACCATGCTTCCAACCTGGAGAGCAAACCAACACGGGATTCAGAGCAAGGCAGACTCCAGGTCAGCGCTGTGCTCCACAGCCACTGCCAGCGCAGACGCGCGCCAGCGCTCTCTCGGTCGTTTCAAGCCTCTGTGTGCATCAACACGCACACCCGACCACATGTTGCAGCCCTGTGCATCAACATGTACACCAACCACACATGATAGCCCATGTTACAGCCCTGTGCATCAACATGTACACCAACCACACATGATAGCCCCACATGTTACAGCCCTGTGCATCAACATGTACACCCAACCACACATTATAGCCCCACATGTTATAGCCCTGGGTGTCAACATGTACACCAACCACACATTATAGCCCCACATGTTACAGCCCTGTGCATCACCATGTACACCAACCACACATTATAGCCCCGCATGTTACAGCCCTGTGCATCAACATGTACACCCAACCACACATTATAGCCCCACATGTTACAGCCCTGTGCATCACCATGTACACCCAACCACACATTACAGCCCCACATGTTACAGCCCTGGGTGTCAACATGTACACCAACCACACATGATAGCCCCACATGTTACAGCCCTGGGTGTCAACATGTACACCCAACCACACATTACAGCCCCACATGTTACAGCCCTGGGTGTCAACATGTACACCCAACCACACATTACAGCCCCACATGTTACAGCCCTGGGTGTCAACATGTACACCCAACCACACATGATAGCCCCACATGTTACAGCCCTGTGCATCATCATGTACACCCAACCACACATTACAGCCCCACATGTTACAGCCCTGGGTGTCAACATGTACACCAACCACACGTTATAGCCCCACATGTTACAGCCCTGTGCATCATCATGTACACCCAACCACACATTACAGCCCCACATGTTATAGCCCTGGGTGTCAACATGTACACCAACCACACGTTATAGCCCCACATGTTACAGCCCTGGGTGTCAACATGTACACCCAACCACACATTATAGCCCCACATGTTACAGCCCTGTGCATCAACATGTACACCAACCACACATTATAGCCCCACATGTTACAGCCCTGGGTGTCAACATGTACACCCAACCACACGTTACAGCCCTGTGAGCCAACATGCACATCCAAGCACACATTATAGCCCTGTGAACCAACATGCACACCCAACCACACATTATAGCCCTGTGATCCAACACACACACCTGTGAGTCAACACACACACCTGACTACACATTATAGCTCTGTGAGCCAACATGCACACCTGACCACATGTTACAGCCCTGTGAGCCAACACACACACCCAACCACACATTATAGCCCTGTGATCCAACACACACACCTGTGAGCCAACACACACACCTGACTACACATTACAGCCCTGTGCATCAACAAGCACACCCGACCACACATTACAGCCTGCACGTAAACATGCACCCCCAAAGACACATTACAGCCCCACATGTCAACACACACCTGACCACATGTTATAGCCCTGGGTGTCAACATGCACACCCAACCACACATTACAGCCCTGTGAGCCAACACACACACACAACCACACATTACAATCCTGCATGTTAACACACACACCCGACCACACATTATAGCCCTGTGATCCAACACACACACCTGTGAGCCAACACACACACCTGACTACACCTTACAGCCCTGTGCATCAACACGCACACCCGACCACACTTTACAGCCCTGTGAGCCAACACACACAACCACACGTTACAGCCCTGCACACGGCAGAGATTGCTCAGTGAACCACATGGTCGTGGACTTGGGGAAACGTGACCAGCAGGAGGCTGTTTGTTCATGTTGCTGTAACTTCAGTTGTAAGGATCACAAGGACCTCCCTGTCCCCGCTGGCTCCTCGCGAGGGATCAGAGGAAGCTGCTGCTAAATCGACTCACCATGAACTGCCTCTGACACTACGCTGTGCACAGCCAGTGAAGGATTACTGAAAGCAAGGGTGATCAGTGGCAACCAAGCTTTCGCTTTCCGTGTGAGTCAGTGAGAGCGACAGACGGCACTGGCCATCATTCCGAGATACTCGGCTTCAAGTATTGGTATCCAAGATGCACGGACCTGAAGCTGTCTTCGGGACCTAACCTAAAGCTGACGAGTCTTGACCTCTCAGCCGCCCGGAGGATTTCTCTGGTGGGATGAGGAGGGCGTCAGGAGAGAGCCGAGTGCTGCTGCCTGCAGGACGTGATGTGGTGTTCACGCGAGGGCCAGTGCTGAGGCTGGACCTCCGGTGGCTGAGATCCCGCATCCCACAGCTCTGGGGTTCAAAGTCACATCACCCGAGAGCCATGCAGCGGGTTGACTGCTTAAGATGCTTACAGCTTTTGCTTCCCCTTTCATTACCTCTGTTTTAAGGTATTTGCCCAATATTAACTGAACTATTAATGTATACGTTGTGAAAAGTCAAATGAACATCCCAAAGTGATATTCAGCGTACTAATACAGCTCAGGGCTTCAAGAGGTCACTGGGAGAAGATAGCACAAGTAATCTTACAATAAGGGATCTGAACACATCTCTTTTTCCTTTCTCTCTCTCTCTCTCTCTCTCTCTCTCTCTCTCTCTTTTGTTATTTGTCCATTACATCAAGTCCCTGAATGAAGTCTTCTATGTGCAGATATTCAGAAATAAGTGAACTTGATCTGAGAATTGCCATGAGTTTAATTGACATACAAAATCATGCATGCTTTCAAATACAAATGTAGCAACTATTACATATATGGTTATCCTGAACGTTTCTAAAGATTTATTCATTTGAAAGTCAGAGTTACAGAGAGAGAAGGGGAGGGGGGAGAAGAAGAGACACAGAGGGAGAGAGAAATCTTCCATCTCCTGGTTCACTCCCCAAATGGCCTAAATGGCCAGGGCTGGGCCAGACTGAAGCCAGGACCTAGGAGCTTCTGCTGGGTCTCCTATGTGGGTGCAGAGACCCAAGCACTTGGGCCATCCTCCTCTGCTTTCCAGGCACATTATTAGGAAGCTGGATCAGAAGTGGAGCAGTTGGGCCTTAAACCAGCACAAATACAGGATGCCGGCATTGTAGGCGGCAGTTTACACACTATATCACACTGCTGGCCCCAAGCATATCCTGATTTTGATAGTAAAAACGTATGCAGAATCCTCTTTGAATGAATCTATTTGTGCAACACAAAAAAAGATACAGTTATAAATATTGACATACATGGGGCGGGGGCTGTGGGGCAGTGGATGCAGCTGCTGCCTGCAATGCCAGCATGCCGTGTGGGCACCAGCTCGGGTCCCAGCTCCTCCACTTTGATCCGGCTCCCTGCTTATGGCCTGAGAAAAGCAGTGGAAGAAGGCCCAAGTGCTGGGCACCTGCCACCTGTGTGGGAGACCTGGCTGCAGCCCCCGGCTCCTGGCTCCTGGTAACCATTCGGGAAGTGAACCAGCAGATGCAAGATCTCTATCTCTGTCTCTCTCCATGTCTCCCTCTATCTCTCTCCTATGTCTCTGAAGCTCTTTCAAATAAAAAAATAAATCTTTAAAAAATTAACAATAGACATACAGATTCACATGTCAATGACATTTTATTTTTAAAAGAATGGTGAAGGCCAGCGTTGCGGCTCAATAGGCTAATCCTCCGCCTAGCGGCGCCGGCACATGGGGTTCTAGTCCCAGTCGGGGCGCCAGATTCTATCCCAGTTGCCCCTCTTCCAGGCCAGCTCTCTGCTGTGGCCAGGGAGTGCAGTGGAGGATGGCCCAAGTGCTTGGGCCCTGCACCCCATGGGAGACCAGGAAAAGCACCTGGCTCCTGCCTTCGGATCAGTGCGGTGCGCCGGCTGCAGCGTGCCAGCCATGGCAGCCTTTGGAGGGTGAACCAACGGCAAAAGGAAGACCTTTCTCTCTGTTTCTCTCTCTCTATCCACTCTGCCTATCAAAAATAAATAAATAAATAAACACACAAACAAACATTAAAAAAAAAGAATGGTGAAATGGAAGTGGAATACCTCATATCCCCGGGAGCTATTCTGGATTCCAAAGTGCGGGGTACCAGGGTCTGGGCAGCTGTTATGAGCAGGATCTGAAATTCACAAGTTAAAAAAAAAAACAGGGTTAGTTATGATCATTGTGATCATGCTAACATATTTTACTCAACTCTAACTTCTTTTGAAGCTGAGAAATTTCTGCTTTGGCAAATGTCCAAAGTGTTTTTCGTGAAGGTTAAAAGTTCCAGTGCGTGCCATTTTCGGCTTTCCTCGGACATCTTCCCTAGATGTTGATCTTTAGTTTGTTTTCAGACTGTGACAGCTTTGTAGTTCCCTCCCGTAGAGGAATAAGCACATTCCATTCTCCACTGCACTCTCCCGTATGCAGCTGGCAAATGTATTGTCTTCTACAAATATCATTCGGTTTAGGAGGGTTCAGTTGCTGTCCATCTCATTTGGTCATCCATTGTATTACTGTACATTTCTGGGGTTTTACTTCCTCGAGATTTCTAAACGAGGGGGCCACTCAGCGCTCGTGAGCAGAGGGACACGGGAGACCACAGGGACATTTTGCAAACAGCCCTGAGCAGTCAGGGAGCCCGCACGGCGCTCACCGCTCTCCGGCTGCTCACAGAGAAGCGGAATCGACATTTCCATCGCCTGCTTTCCAGGGCAGCCGCTCGCCAGGGAGAGGACAGAGATGGCGCCCGTGAACCAGGAGTTTAAGTCAACTGACAGTAAGCATTCCTTTAATTATGAAGAATAATGCCTCCATTAGATTATCTCTAATCTGTCTTCCTTTTTAAATAGACACCACTGCATTTCTTAGAAAACCACCAGGGCTATAAATCATTATTCTTTACTGCAAATTTGCAAAATGAAGCTCGGTAAAATTGGGTGGTCAAAATTAACCCAACAGTGAGACTGGAATGTGCAGTGACAAAGCAGCAGCCCGTGCTGTCTCTGCGGTGGGGGAGTCTGGGGCCAGGACAGGAGCCCTGCCTTTCTGTGCACAGTGTAGCCAGCTGAGATGCTTGGAGAGCGGGAGACCTCGGGACCGAGGGCAACGTTACTCTCGCAGTCTTCCGGCTTAACAAGGCTGTGATCGGCACAGCTGATCCCTGTGTGCACAGAGAATGGTGCCCTGCACAGAGCGTTCCCTATGGGGATGTTATCTCCACAACCACACGCGGTCCAGTTTTAGGGCACACAGAGCCATTACCAATGCAGATGGGCTGCACCCCGCTCCAGGAGCCGTCGGCTTGGCACACTCTTCGGGAAGACCCCACGAGGATGAACGGAGATTTGCACTGGAAGAGGACTTCCGACTTGTAGGTGAAGCTCTTCCCACTCTGCCTCCCCTCGGCGGGCGTGCCAGGGTCTCCACAGAACACGGCTGCAGGAAACAACCCAAAACGTCACCCTGGGGTGCCTGGGTCCCGTTAGGCCCAGAACTCGTCTGAAGAGTTTCTGTTAACTCTTTCAGGTTTTCCAGTCACCCCCGGACGCCTGAAAGGAAAGCCCCTGGCCCCAGGCCCACTGTCTCCAGTGCCACAGGGGTGGGGCTGGGACCGCTCAACACCGTGCTGCCCCCCCGCCCCCCCCTAGGCTGTGCCCGGGCGGAGTTCAGAACTTACGCAGGCACTGAGGGACCTCTCCCTTCCACACGCCGCGCCCTTCGCAGGAGAGGATGGCGGAGTGAGAAAGCTGGTAGCCGTCCACGCAGCTGTAGCTGATGCTGGAGCCCCAGCGGAAGTCGCTGCCTTCCACCCTGCCGTTGTGCACCTGCGGAGGCTGAGTGCACAGCACCGCTGTTTCCAAGAAGAAGCAGCGGTCAGCCACATCCCAGAGCGCCCAACGCGGCCCCGCGGTTCAGCCCGCCCGCGCTGCCATCCCACGGGTGCTTGTCACAAGCGAGTTACTGAGGGAGACGGTGAACACAACAGCAGTGGGAAATGCACCCTGCCCTGGCCGCCCAAGCTCCTGATTCACAAGTACTGAGGATTCACCTGTGAGGTTTGGGGCCCGAGTGCCCTGAGCAGAGAGGGCAGGCAGTGTGGGGCCCCAGGAGGGGCCAGCAAGGGGAGGCGGGTGGCAAACGGCAGAGATCTGCAGGGACACGCCGCCCCGCCCGTGCCGACTCTAATGAACGCAGGGGGTATGAGAAAGAGCAACGGGAGCCTGCAAGTGTGTACACAGAGTCCCAGGGCCAAGACCACTGCTGCCATGACCGCACCTAGAACCTCCCAGCACACGGTGCACACAGGGCCCCGGATGGAACAGGGGCAGCCTTAGGAGTTGAGAGAAAGAACGGAAGACAGGAAGACCCTTAACCTGCCGGGGGACAGAGAGGAAAGAGGTGGCCATCACAGGACAGGGGGCCGTGGATCAGGGGTCCTGGAGGCATCACGAGAACCTGTCCACACAAAACCCTGGATCCTGGGAGCCCAGTGGAGACACCACCACCTGTTCCTTCACTTACCGCTGATACGTAGGTAGGTAGGTAGATAGACAGATAGATAAATAGATAGATAGATAGATAGGTAGATAGAGTATCATAAAAAGAGTGATTTGATACTGGTAAGTGTATTTCCAAGGATTCTTAGCCCAAACGAGGGCTTCGTAAATGCAAGCTGAGTCAAAGAAAACGCGGCTTCACACAGTACCCGCCCAGTGCGCAGGGCGCACCTTTGCAGACCGGCTTGCTCTGGTTCCAGGTGCCGTCCCTGGTGCAGCGGATCGTGGCCGCCGCGGCAGGCTCCATGAGATAGCCAGGGTTGCACTGGTAGCTCACTGTGCTGTTGAAGGTGAAGTCGCTCCCAAACTGGATGCCGTTGGGCAGCGTGCCGGGGTCTCCGCAGCTCACGACTGCCGGCAGCAGGGTAGAGCAAGAGAAGCAGAAGCGTCGTGAAAGGGGGAATCACGGTCCTGCAGCTGCCATTCAAAGTACTGAATCCCGAAAGGGACGCAGTCCTGCGCTGGCCCATCTCCCCGACCTGCTCTCAGGAGCCTGTGTCTTTGGCAGCCCCATTTCTGTTCTCCGGGTGGCTGGCTGTGGGGAAGCCAGCGCCCTCCCACGGCCGGCCCTGCCCGGGCTCAGGGGCCCCCACTCGGCCAGGGTCAGGCCCAGACATTTTCCTCCCTGGAGACTGAACTTCCCACAGACACACAGGCTGGACGTGTTGTAGTCTCAGTACCCAAGAACCAGAAGCTTAGCGCTGCTTCGCCCACGTAAGACGGTGGAGAAAAATGCTTAGGTACCCAAGAAACAGACTCACTCCAAACACAGATATAAATCAAACACACACCTCCCTGTTTTCTCCATGAAATCAAAAACTAATAAAACTCGTTCAAACGGCAACGTCTGCTTCTCTCTGCTTCTGTCAAGCGGATCCGCTAGCACCGGGCTGGAGCACAGCGCGACGCGGGTTACTAACTTGTGCAATCCGGAGCCGTGCCGGTCCAGGTCCCGTTGGCGGTGCAGTGCCGGGTCATGAGCCCCGCGGTCTTGTAGCCCTCCCAGCAAGCATAGATGACGGAGCTGGAGAAGAGGATGCCGTCACTGCTGACGATCATGCCGTTGGTGGGCGTGCCGGGATTTCCACAGGACACGGCTGAGGAGGAAACACAGAGGGCTGACCTGGGACCAGCGCTGACTGGCTTGGACCAGTCGGGGAGAAGGCAGGGTCGGAGTTTAGCAGCTGCAGGTCCATTACAAGAGCACCGAGAATGTTCGCAGATCTCGGCCACATTTTGCCATGGGATTCGCAGGTTTATTTCACCGGGGAGCCACATTTTGCCATGGGATTCGCAGGTTTATTTCACCGGGGAGCCACATTTTGCCATGGGATTCGCAGGTTTATTTCACTGGGGAGCTACGTGTGTGAAGCTGAAAACTCACGCTGTCTCTTCCAAAGCCCACGCTTCCCATCAAATTGAAGCAAGATTTGGAGCACTGGGTACCCAAGGCGTGCTGCTTCGGGGCTGAGCTCATTTTTCACACCGAGACGGAACCCCCAGGACTCCGTGAGCATGTGTGTTACACAGAAGCAGCCCCTGCACGTACGGGCTGTGATTACAAACTCAGCGGAGAACTCATTTTGGCAAAAGAGTGCTGAGGACTCTGACTGGCTGCACCCCAGTGGATGGGAAATTCGTCTCAATGCCACCACGCGGGAAGAGGCCCGCACACGGCCGCACCACGTGCAGGCACTCAGGCCTGGCTGCTGCAGGTCAGGGTGGCGGCTCTGCGCCCCACGTCTGCCCGTGCCCTCCTCAGTCGGCAACGGGAACAGTCTGCAGCTGCTGGGTGCGTTTCAAGGTGAGGGGTCTCATTCGCTAATTCTGGTTTTTGCCCATTTTAGAGGACTGTATTTAGTAGGATTGTTATGTTTCTTTTTAACCCTAGCACGAAAATGCACAATAGGCAGACAAATACAGAATGTGATGCTTGCCTACAATTTAATTACTGCATCACAGGACTACCCAAAATGACCAGCAGATTTCAAAATGGTTTTTGCATATTTATTTGCTCCCCTTTCACATCTAGCCTGAAAACACATATTTTTTCTTAAAAACATGGAAGGACACAGGCTGCAATGTTGTATAGGGTTTACACGTTTTTTAATTAACTCCAGCATTTTTATTTCTAGCAGACCTACACAGGTGCACACACTCCTGGGGTATCACGTGATGTGATGCTTTATTGCATGTATACATTGTGTGATGCCCAACCACGTGTATACATTGTGTGATGCCCAACCACGGTAAGTGCTTTACCCTTTCAAGCATTTTGCATTTCTAAGTAAAGCATCCTAAATCCTATCTTTCAGTTTCTTTTTATTTTTTATTTATATAAGGTGAACAGATTTCATGTATTTCTTTTTTTATATTTAAAAGCAGGATTTATTAGAGTCAAAGTCCTCCATCCATAGTGGCATGGAGGGGGCTCTGAGAGAGGAAAAACCCAAAGTGGTCCATGGCAGTGGAGTTGGTAAGCACAATGTTGACTGGCATTCAGTTACAAGGCGGGAACAAAGCCCATCCCAGACCTGGCTTACATCCTCTATCCTCTCTGATAGAACAAAATCCACGGGTGGGGGGCAGATTTAGGAGCACAGTGAGACTTCCCGCCCACCCTCCTTTCTTTCTCATTCTTTCTTTTCATTTCACAATGATGTGCTTCCAGTTTGCACTGGCCATTTCAGAGATTACTTTCCAATGCTCACCCAGCTTTGCAAGATTTTTGCATTGTGCAATGCAGTATGGACAGGCCCAGAACATTTGAGAAATACTGTCAGCATTGCAACATTTTCATGCTACTTTTCAAAAAGATTTATTAATTTATTAATTTACTGGAAAGGCAGAGTTACACAGAGACAGGAAGAAAGAAGAAGAGAGACAGAAATATCTTCCCTCTGTTAGCTCCTCCAGTAGCAGCGAGAGCTGGGTTGGGCTGCACCCAGGAAGGAGCCCAGAGCTCCATCCAGGTCTCCCATGTGGGTGGCAGGGACCTGTACTGGGCTATCTCCCACTGCTTTCCTATTCCCTTCAGCAAGGAGCTGGATGGGAAACGGAGCAGCCGGGACATGAATCAGCACTTACGTGGGAAGCTGGCATCGCAGGCGGTGGCTTAACCCACCGTACCATGATGCCAGCCACTCACGGCACCTTTGTGTATTTAGCTGCTGATGGATAAGTTAGTTTCTCGGGGTTTTATAGGACATTTTTTAAAAGGTCTAACCTTAGAAAAGTCAGATGCTATTTTAAGAATCCTTTGCACTGTCTGCATTAGGTCCAGTGCAGAAGTGACATCTCATGAAGCTGTTATTCAGATGAACCCATGTACACTTCACTAGACTAGAAGTCATGGCTCCATTACAGGCCCAGAGAGGGTCCTTAGAATGACATTTCTCACTCTCCACCGTTTCCTTTCAGCTTCTGGGTCAGCAAGTCTGGAGCACACGGCGGTGCACGGGACAGAACATGCGCAGGCCCAGGTGAACAGCCCCGGGTTTCACGTTCTGTGTTCTGCTCCCGGGGCGGCCATGAAGGCTGCGCTCATCGTACGCTTTGCTCAGGCTGCAAAGCAGGGTTCGGGCCCGCTGTTGTCTGTGCCACCTCCAGAGCTGAAAGGCTGTCCCACTGAGAGCACTCCATGTCCAGGCATCTAAAATGCTCCCGGCTCACACCCAGTGTCTGGCTGCCGCCTGCATACATCTGAGTGAACGCTCTAAACATGAAATAAAATTCCAGAGAGGATGCAGCCCTCAACCTTTTAATGGGAAGGATAAATTAAGACCGGAACTGTGATACTGCAGTTGCACAGAATGACATCTAGGGACCGGCACAGTGGTCCACTGGGGAGTCCCATCCAGGATGTTTAAGTCCTCTCTGCCCCTCTTCCAATCTAGCTCCCTGCTAATGTGCCTGGCGAGGCAGCAGGTGCATACAACTTTTACATATATATATATATATATATATATATACACACACATATATATGTATATATATAGTCCAATATAATTTCTTTTTTTGACAGGCAGAGTTAGACAGTGAGAGAGAGACAGAGAGAAAGGTCTTCCTTCCGTTGGTTCACCCCCGCAAAGGGCGCTATGGCCGGCGCGCTGCACCGATCCGAAGCCAGGAGCCAGGCACCTCCTCCTGGTCTCCCATGTGGGTGCAGGGCCCAAGCACTTGGGCCATCCTCCACTGCACTCCCTGGCCACAGCAGAGAGCTGGCCTGGAAGAGGGGCAACCGGGACAGAATCCAGCGCCATAACTGGGACTAGAACCCGGGGTGCCGGCGCAGCAGGCAGAGGATTAGCCTAGTGAGCTGCAGTGCCAGCCCAATATAATCTTTGAGTCTAAATGAGGATCAACATATGGCCATACATTTATACTGATGTATGCACGCACACACAAATCTGTATTACATATGCAGGCATGTATATGCATCATAGACTATCTTATTATATACAGAATGCTGTAACATAGTAACATAATAGTCTATAGACATATAGGTATATAGATAATATAGTCTATAGACATATATTATTTGTTACTTATCAAAAATATAAAATAAGAAAGACAAAGAATTATGGCAAAGAGGAGAAGAATGGAAGCTTAATCTTGATTTGTGTTTCTGGTTCTGATTCTGTTAGAGCCAAATTATATAGGAAGTGTTTCACACTTACCAAACACACACTTAATTAGAAGTTTGCTCGCAAGGAATTCCTCACACGCATGGTCTGATCTGTCTGAATTCCAAACGTGATCTCCTGAGCTCTAAACAAATCACGTCCATCCTGTCCCCGTGCACCTCTGCTGGGGGCAGACGTGGGCGACACTGGGCACAGCATCTATAACGTGCCAGCTGTTTCCTCACTCACTGGTGGGGCCGCTCACCGTTTCCTACCATGCCTCCCAGATACCGCACCCGAATGGATTCCCTGCAAATGACACAGGACCCAGAACACGTCCGAGCTGCCGTGTAGCAGGGTGCTCTGCACACGGCCACCCACAGACTGGCAATGACCGGAACTGAAACCTGCTTGCAGCCTGCAGGACTTCCTGCCTGGGACGCTTACTGCTCATCCTCATGGCTCCTTAACCCCGCTCGTTCCCCAGGGCCATCGGAGGAAGCCGGAAGCCTCCACTCGGGTTGCCAACTTTCATAGGATGAGGGGCAGCGTGAAGGATGTTCACTCAGGCCGGATCTCTCCACGCATGCAGTAGGACGCGGATGGTGCTCGCATCACGGACTTGCGTCGGGGCCGGGGGAGGGTTTCACTGTACAGTGCGTCCCCACCTCTGGGGTTTCCGCGGAGTTTTCAGCACGAGCTGTGTGGCTCCAGCTACTCACCCTCACACACGGGCTGCAGTCCCGACCACGAGCCGTTGCTCAAGCAGGTTCGCTCGGCGGAGCCCCTCAGCTGGTGGCCCATCTCACAGGAGAAGCGGAGCAGGCTCTTGGTCTTGAACTCATCCCCAAGCCGAGACCCATGGGCGGGGGTCCCTGGGTCGCCACAGAACCCAGGGTTGTTCCCTGTGGGTGTGAACACAAGCGGTCATTTACAGGCGTGCAAGACTTGGTTGACACAAGTTGTTAGGTTTCAACACAGTGGAAAGCTGTTCAATTAAATATCCAACATGGCGGTTGGCTGGATGGCATTCTGGTGATTGGGCAGAGAGATTTTCTTTATGACAAGCCCAAAGCGCAAGAACACAGGAGACTCTTCTTGGGGCTGGCACTGTGTTGTAGCGGGTGAAGCCGCCGCCTGCAGTGCTGGCATCCCATAAGGGCGCCCGCTCAAGTCCTGGCTACTCTACTTCTGATCCAGCTCCTTGCTATTGTACCTGGGAAAGCAGTGGAAGATGGCCCAAGTGCGTGGGTCCCTGTGTGGCAGACCTGGAAGAAGCTCCTACTCCTGGCTTCGGATCGGCCCAGCTCCAGCCGTTGCAGCCATTTGGGGAGCGAACCAGCTGATAGAAGAACTATCTCTCTTTCTTTCTCCTCTAACTCTGCCTTTTAAATACATGAATAAACATCTTTAAAAAATAGACTGTTCTTGTGTCACAAATCAAAACAGCCAATTCAATTCACTTGTGAGAGTAAATGAGAGACTCTGGGAGCAGTGAAGCAATGGGGATGGTGAATGCAGTAGGTGCCCTCTGGAGGGAGGCGGCAGCAGAGGGAGTGCAGGGGGTGCACCAGGAGGCAAATGAGAGGGGTGACTCTGCATAGCCATGTCCAGAGCTGCTGATGCACTGAGCTGAACTGAATTTAAAAATACTCGTGGAAGAATGAAGTAAGAATGTTCCTAAGTGGATCAGTGTCACGACTGACAATATGGTGCCAAAACATGGAAGGACTGTGAGGAAGCAGAGAAAAACAATAAAGCACAGGCCAGGGCACATGGCGCCAAGGGAAGCTGGTTTGTGAGCCAGAGTGCCCAGGCTCCTGCAGCCTGAGGGAAGTGACGGGCGCCTGGCACTACCACGGCACACGGCAGAGACATGTGCAGCTGGGTTCTGCTGCCGCGTGTTCCTGCACAGTGGTCCCTGGGGGCACGCACAGGTCCCCAGGGGCACGTGTGTTAGTCTCTGTGGGCACACACAGGTCCCCAGGGGCGTTTGCGCTGGTCCCCGTGGGCACACACAGGTCCCCAGGGGTGTGTGCACTGGTTCCCATGGGCACACACAGGTCCCCTAAGACGTGTGCACTGGTCCCCGTGGGCACACACAGGTCCCCTAAGACGTGTGCACTGGTCCCTGTGGGCACACACAGGTCCCCAGGGGCGTGCGCTGGTCCCCGTGGGCACACACAGGTTCTCAGGGGTGTGTGCGCGGTCCCCGTGGGCACACACACGTCCGCAGGGGCGTGTGTGCTGGTCTCCGTGGGCACACACACGTCCCCAGGGGCGTGTGTGCTGGTCTCCGTGGGCACACACAGGTCCCCAGGGGCGTGTGTGCTGGTCTCTGTGGGCACACACAGGTCCCCAGGGGTGTGCACTGGTTCCCGTGGGCACACACAGGTCCCCAGGGGTGTGTGCACTGGTCCCCGTGGGCACACACAGGTTCCCAGGGGCGTGTGCACTGGTCCCCGTGGGCACACACAGGTCCCCAGGGGCGTGTGCACTGGTCCCCGTGGGCACACACAGGTCCCCAGGGGCGTGTGCACTGGTCCCCGTGGGCACACACTGGTTCCCAGGGGCGTGTGCACTGGTCCCTGTGGGCACACACAGGTCCCCTAAGACGTGTGCGCCTGCCCCCGTGGGCACACATAGGTCCCCAGGGGCGTGTGCTCTGGTCCCCGTGGGCACACACAGGTCCCCAGGGGCGTGTGCTCTGGTCCCCGTGGGCACACACAGGTCCCCTGGGGCGTGTGCTCTGGTCCCCGTGGGCACACACAGGTCCCCAGGGGCGTGTGCTCTGGTCCCCGTGGGCACACACAGGTCCCCAGGGGCGTGTGCTCTGGTCCCCGTGGGCACACACAGGTCCCCAGGGGTGTGCACTGGTCCCCGTGGGCACACACAGGTCCCAGGGGCGTGTGCGCTGGTCCCCGTGGGCACACACAGGTCCCCAGGTCCCCACGGGCACGTCTCACCTGTGCAGTGGGGGAGGGCCCCACTCCAGTGACTGTCCTCCTGGCAAACCCGGGTGCTGTTGCCCACAAGGCTTCGGCCCCCACTGCATGAGTAGTGGACTGTGGCCCCGTAGGTGAACCTCTCTCCGGTCAGCACGGCGTTGGCTGGGACTCCCGGGTGCCCACACGATATGACTTAGGGAAAAGAAAAGCACACAGGTAAGTGAGCACAGTGCCCCGGGTGAACCGGTTTGCGCTGGTGAGCCCCTGGGCTGACACGGTTGCACACACGTGCTGGCATGTCCCTGCCATCCCCTGCAGGTAAGACACAGCCACGTCAGATGGGGCCACTGCCCCGTGGTCATTACCCAAGTGAAGGAAGGGCCTGACCGAGAGGAAATGATTTGGAAAGAAAGAAAAGAGCTAATTCCTCTGGCGAATCCCGGAGCGAAGGCAGGGAGAGCAGACGCAGACAGCCGGTGCGGAGGCCTCACGCTGCCACGCGCGTCTGCTACGTAAGGCTCAGCCTTTCCTTCTCTTAGTGATCGTCCTTCTTTTCCTTGGAAGCCAGCTCTGCTGTTAAAGGGGGAGGTGGAGACACGGTTCCACGTACACTGTGGGAGGTCATGTGTGAAACTCGGAAGAAAAACATCCGCACCAGCCCATTCCCGGCCCACACTTCTCGGGCGGAGCAGCGCCAGCCGTGTGCTGTGGGCGCTGCTCTCTGCTTTCCTGATGCACACAGGACGCGTGGGAAGGAGGCAAGCTTTTGATTTCAAGAACCGCTTTGCTTTTGCGCGATTTTAAAAGAAGCCAAAGTAAGGAACAGCTTTTCCTCCAATTCCCTGCGGCCCTGGACAACCCGAGTTCACTAGTGACAGAAGGCCGAGGATGGCCTTCTGGGGGAGTGCCCCTTGCTGCTGACACACTGACAGACGGGGTGCTGCGGGGCTGTCAGGAGGGGCCGTGGCAGCCATCTGTGGCTCTGCCAGGGCGAGCACCTTCACCCTCCCGGCAATGCCGGGTTAATCAGGAGGATGCCATGTTGGCGTGGTGGTTGGTGTTGTTTGTTATCGTAGTCACCACTGACTGCAGGGGACCCGCTCACGGGTCTCAGGGCAGGTCCCCCGGACGTAAGTGCACCGACAAGCCCTGTGCCAGCATTTCTGAACCTGGGACGGCAGACAGTGAGGCTGAGAGACGGGGGGCTGTGACCACACAGAGGAAGCCGCTCTCCCGGGTAAGTGGAGGCAGACAGAGCTGCTGCAGAGGGAGTCCCATGGCCCGGGTCCCTTTCTGGGGCCAGGGCTGCGAGCGCTCACCTCAGGGTTTCCCTTTCCCCTTAAAAAGAACGTAAGTTGCATTTGGTGCTTCTTGGTCCAGTGGGCCTAACACCCCTAGAACTGACCTGACTGGTGAGGGAGGGGGGCAGGGAGTGGTGGAACCCGGTACCCTTCCCCAACACACAAAAATGCGACGTGTTCTGTCGGAGCTCTTCTGGCGCCCCGTGGCGCAAAGCCCGCAAGGAATCTCCACTCACCCAAACAACTGGGCAGGGAGCGGTCCCACAGGCCGCTCGCCGTGCAGGTCAGGGCCGACGACCCCAGCAGGTAAAACCCCTTTTTGCAGTGAAACAGGACACTCATGCCATACTTGAAGCTCTCCGGGAGGCTCCGCTGCCCGTGGCGGACGGCGTTGTCCACGAAGCCGGGGTCTGAGCAGTTCACCACTGGAAGACAAAGCACCCCGCTCAGCGTTGGGGACAGCAGAGGAGGGGCAGCCGAGAATTCCACCCACCACTCGGGACCAGGGTGTTGCTAACAATCCCAGCGAGAGCTCTGCTCCCATGGCCACGTTAACATACCAGGCGAATTCCCTTACACGACTCCTTAGTGACAATGTCTTCCCGCTTTGTGTGTACGTTCTAAGAATGGATAAATGACACTGGCTGGCGTTCAGTCTGAGGGTCTGTACTCAAGTGTGGATCTCAGGGCAGTGTGCAGTGCAGCGGCCATTCCCTTGGTGCATCAACACTGTGACACGTAGGACCACAGCTGTTCCCACTAATGTCGGACGTGAGTGACAGCGACACTGCTCCTGTTAGACACGTGGGTGCAGCCGGCCTCTGCCGTGAGGCCCGAGCCCCCAGTGAGAGTGCACGCCCATGCTCGGGTTCCTCCGTCAGCCTGGGTGCTGGCGGGAGGCAGGGAGCCACAGGCCCCCGCACAGCTGCAGCCATGACCTCAGCCTCCTGCTTCCAGGTGTGTCTCAGGCAGGTGCCAGCGCCTCCCGCAAGCTGCCATCTGTAACAAGCAGGAAGCGCAAGGGCAGACCCAGGCTCACAAAGCACCCTGTCAGAGTGGGGGGACAGGGCTGCTTGTAAGGAACCCGGAGTTGGCAGAAGGAAGTCTCCAGATCTGGTGCGTCCAAGACAAAACAAACAACCCAGCAGCAAATATTCCCAGAGCCCCATCCTGCATTGCATCTGTGATTAGGCCGCAACACAAACCCCGGAAATACCCGCATCCCCGCTCAGAAGCACCTGGCTGCTGGCTTCAGAACGGCGCAATGCGCCAGCCATAGAGCCCATTTGGGGGGGGTGAACCAATGGAAGGGAGACCTTTCTCTCTGTCTCTCTCTCTCTCACTGTCTAACTCTGCCTGTCCAAAAAAAGAAAAAAATCGTTGTGTAATGTAACTGGTGAGGTCTAAAGGAAACTGGTCCATATCACATGGAGAAATGTTACAATCAGTTTGATTGGTTATTCTAACAGATTGTTCCACTGGGCTAAACAGCTCTGTGTTGAGAAGGGAAGGCAGGGTCACCAAGGGCCCACTGGGAGCTGGGTGCCCTGTGGTACATGTGTGTACTCGGAACCGTCAGGAGCCTCCATCACTCAGGTGAGAACACTGCTGCTGTCCCCAGGAGGCCAAGCCTCACCTTTCTGACCGACACAGGAGCGAGGTGGCCTGGGGTCCTGCTCACACCTGTCTCTGCCCACCTGCCTCCCTCCGCCTCCTGCACAGCTAGTTGTAGCCCTGCCCGAGTGACTTCTTACCAAATAGAGTACTCATGCTGTCAAAGGAACACTACGTAATTTACATGGCTGTATTCAGCTTGTCTTGGGGCCTCTCACAAGCGCATTTTCCCATAATGGATTTTAACCAAGCTATAGGATCAACTTAGGAAGAGCTAATTTTTAACCCTCTGTTCACTCCATTATTACCTGACTTTGGATGTATTTTCCACAGTATTTTACTGACAGCATAATAAACACTCCATGTAAAAGGACTCACTTAGTGGCTGAGGTTCAGGCATGAAGGCTCGTAACTGAACTCTAGACAGTGTTGGGTTTTGATCAAAGAGGCATTCAACTTATCCTGAATGATATAGGGGATTCTGCAAGATATACGGTTACATAGATACTGCTTATCAAAGATAAAATGTAGGTTACATTTAGGTTGTACATAAAATCATGTATAGATAATACTATATGTAAGAAATACGTAGGAGCCAGCACAGTGGGTTAAGCTACTGCATGAAATACTGGCATCCCATATAGGTGTTGGTTCGAGTCCTAGCTTCTCCATGTCCAAGTCAGCTTCCTGCTATTGCAACTGGGAAAGCAGCAGAAGATGGCCCAAGTGCCTGGGCCCTGCCACCTACGGAGAGACCTGGATGGGGTTCCTGGATCCTGTCTTACGCCTGACCCAGATGTGGCTGTTGCAGCTACTGGACATTGAGCCAGCAGATGGAACACCTGTGTGTCTGCTGTCTCTCTCTCTCTCTCTCTCTCTCTCTCTCTCTCTCTCTCTAACTCTACCTTTCAAATGAATAAAGAAAGAAAACAGGCTAGGGCTGGCGTTGTGGTGGAACAGATCAACCTGCTGCCTGCAATGCTGGGATCCCATATGGGCACTGGTTCTAGTCCTGGCTGCTCCACTTCCATTCCGCTCCCTGCTGATGGCCTGGGAAAACAGTGGAAGATGGCCCAAATGCTGGGGCCCCTGCACGCACATGGGAGACCCTGAAGAAGCTCCTGGCTCCTGGCTTTAGCTTGGCCCAGTCCTGGTCATTGTGTCCATTTGGGAAGTGAACCAGCAGATGGAAGATCCCTCTCTCTCTCTCTCTCACACTCTCTTTCTCCCTCTCCCTCTCCTTTTCTGTCATTAAAATAAGTAAAATAAATCCCCCCCAAAAGAGAAGAAACCTGGCAACTGGGCGGCTGGGGGATGACCCAGCGACTGACCTTCCACCTGAGCCCAGTGCTTCTGCCACTCAGCCCAGCCCCTGCCTCCTCCCACGGCGCTAGTACTTCCTGTGGGAAGGGCGGCAGGGAAAGACGCGGTGTCAAAGAGCCTTTCTCACCCACAGTGACTTTATGCTGTGAATGGGCAGCACGGCGCTGAGAGCCAGCACCTCAAGTACCGAAAATGATCAATCAATGGCAAACGTTTGATTTATTCTCCTCTTCTGTCCTGGGGCAGGCTAGAGGAAATGGGACACTGGTACATGGAAGCCGTCCGTAGCTAAAACCCACTGTTCTGAGCCCACAGCATCCTTTCTGTAACAAGGACATGCCATGTCAGAGCCCCGGTGACACTCTCCCTGTCGGCTAGCTCCCTGGTCCCTGCGTGTTATCCACCCCAAACAGGAGCAATTTTATCCGTCTCTGTGTCAACAGCATCCAGTAAGGCATTTGGAATACAGCAGGCACTTAATAGGTGTACATTATATGGACCAGTTTTGGGGGACAGAGACACAGGGCTCTGATCCCACAAAGGCATCGACACAGCAAGGCTGCGCACCTGCGGGAAGACACGGGAGACTGAAATCTCGGGTATTCACTCTTAATCGTTCCTTCAGTTGTATAATTTTTTTTCTGTCTAACAGGGTGGGGAACAGAGTTGGTTGAAGGGTGTTTAATCTTCTCCTAAATCCTTACAACCATATAAACAAGAGGCAGACTCTACAGCCGTGTCTCCCGATGGCCATTCCAGACCTCATGTGTCAGGCAGGTGTGTGTGTTCCAGTTCTCCTCTGAGGACAACATGGAGAGCTGAGGGCCAGTGATTAATTCAGGAACGTTTAGGTCAGTATTCAATGGATGGTCCCATGTAGACATATATATTCAATACATACATAAATTCACCCAAGGGCCTGGTGTAAGAAGCAAAAGGGTGAGATTTCACCAGAATTCCAGCTTTCAGAGTGGGTGCTGGGACGACTGTGTCCTGTATCAAATGCCGGGCTTGAGCCCCATCCAGCTTCCTGCGAACAGGCCTGGGAGGAGTGGACGATGGCCCAAGTCCGTGGGTTCCTGCAGCTCACGTGGGAGGTCTTTCCAAAGGCTGACGACATGATGAGTGAGTGCTGCTGTCCGTCTGGGATTTCACGTCACCCGTCCCATCCAGGGTTGGTCATGAATCACCAGCATCACGGCAACCACAGCCGAGAGGGTGCTTTCTCACCTCTGCCAGCGTCGGCCTCAGGGTGAAGCGTGAGGCTATGGCGTGGAAGCCAAGGGCAGGATGCACCCCAACCCCAGTCCCCCACATGCTGACTGAGTGTTTTCTCAGGAAGTCTACTTTCAATTCTTTTAGGAGAAGGCAAGACTACCATTAAAACCAAGTGTGAGGTTGGACTTTCATTCAGTTGAATGCAGCACTTATTGGACTGAATAAATCAAATTTTGTTGTGAGTTTTTAAAAACTTTATAACTTATTTAATGTGTTTGAAAACACAGAGAGAGAGACAGAGTGAGTGAGCGGAGAGAGAACGAGAGAGAAAAAGAGAATCTTCCATCTACTGGCTCAGTCCCCAAACGTCTTCAATGGTCAGGGCAAGGCCAGGCTAAGCCAGGAGCCAGGAGCGGCACTGGAGCCATCCATTGGATGGCAGGCCCCAGCGCCTTGACCTGTGATCTGCCACCTCCCTGGGTGCACACCTACAGGAAATCGGGACTGGAGAGGAAGTGGGAGTCTATCCAGGCACTCTGATACAGGCTGCAGGTGCTGTAGGCAGCGTCCTAGCCACCGCATCAGGTGTCCACCCTATGTTTAGTGTTTTACAGACGGAGTGCATCAAGTGTTAGGATGTGCACTGAGGGGACTTGAGCTCCCTAGTGCTGGCCTGGAGTCACTTCACCTCAGTGAAGGTGGCACACGAATTCAATACGATACTGTCCACCTGCGGTGTGGACATCCGGAACACAGTATCTGCACAACACGGCAAATGGAATAGAGAGTTAATCTGGTGTGTGTGATGACTATCCGTGAACAGACGTTGTGGATTGCTCCACTGGTGGTAAGGTTAACGCCGAGTCTAAGGCAGCGTCTGCCGTGTTTCTGAGTGAACACTAGGGCTTGTTGAACAGAACTGGTGATGGGCATTCCTTTCAGAGCATTTTCCTGCAAGGTTCCATCCTTTCCCTTCAAACAAAGCTGACTCTCGCAGTGCCTGTGTTTGGGGTGAAGAGGCGAGCACCGGCCTCACGCCAGTCACTTGGCCTGGGGTACCGGAACCGGGGAGACCCCAGCAGGGCAACAGCTGGCCGTGCTTCATTGTAACCCCTCATTTTATGTCCCTGATGGTTTATAGGGCAAAACTGATCTTTCCGCCCTAACTTCTATGAAAACCATTCCTCGAGTGGAAAAGGCACAAACGATACCCTCTAGCACGCTGTGTCTCTGGTAGGAAGTGGGCACAGTCATCCGTGACACAGCAAGGCTTGCATAGCACCAACTGATTTAAAATGTCAATTTATAAAATTAGCTACAGGTGCTTAAAGGTAAATTTTTAATTTTGTCTGCTACATCATATTAGAAATGTTAGAACAATTCCTGTTATTATTATTAAATGACTTAAAACCAATATCCCTTGCACATCCATAGCCAAAAAAAAAAGTCCTTATTCCAAAACCTAAGTTATACAAAACTGAACACATTCTACAAAAATGGGCTACATATTTCAGAATATATAAAATGCAAAAGTTTATATAAAATACAGGACCTCGTCTTCAAGGTCTAAGTCCATGCAGAGTCTCGACTTAACACCAAAAGCATGATCCATAAAAGGAAAAATTGGTCAACTGAAGACTTGGCTGCTAATGAGACTGTTAGTATGATGGAAAGACTAGCAACAGATGGGCAGGAAGGTTCCCGCTCCTGTGCCGGACAACTGAGGTTGGATAAGGAGTAACAGACCACTCCCGAAACTCAACCTTAGGTAGAAACACGAACAAATGAACGGTCCCGTCACTCCGGTTAGAATGCGGGCAAAGGTGTAAGGTGCGTCTCACAGAGGAGGTATACGGCAGGTGAGTGTGTCGAAAGGGCTCAGCAGCACCAGCTCTCAGGACACCACCGTGTGCAGTCCCTGCACACCTGGGCACAGCTGGAAGCCAAGCAGCACCCAGTGCTGGAGAGGAGGTGTGGGAACCGGGCTCCCTGTGTCTGCGGGGTGACCAGCGAGCACAGGCACTCTGGAGAACCACTCGACAGTGTCTCAGAAAACTAAACTTTCAGAGACCACAGGACACACAATTCACACTCTTGGGCATTTTCCCCAGAGAAATGAAGAAGTGCAGTTACATAAAGCAGGTCAGCGAACACCTCCAGTAGTGCTGCTTGCAGTAGCGATAACTGGACACACCGCACTTCCTCTGGTGAACACACGGTTAAATAGCCTGTGCATGCAGCCCATGGGCTGTCACTCAGCTGAGAAAAGCACCTTGCACAACGCTCCAGAGAACGGTTGCTGAGTGGGAAAAGCCAATTCCTCACAGTCTCCTACCAGAGCACAGTCCTTCACGACGTCCTCTTGGAGTGAGAGGGTGACAGATGGGGAAGCCAGGTGTGGGGCTGCCAGCAGTGAGGAGAGGGGACATGCAGGTGGTGAGACAGGGTGAGGGGTACCCTGGGATTCCCAGGACGCTCCACAAGTTCACCATGCCACAGCCAACATCCTGGTGATGTTAGTGAACTCTGGTTTTATAAGATGTTAGCACCAGCAAGAGTAGGTGAGAGACACAAGGGAGAACTACTCTTTCTAATAGCTACAATTCTGAAATACTTGAATCTAAGCATAAAGAATGAGAAAAGATTGCAAATTAGGTCAGCCCGCATGGGGGCAGCTAGCTAAGTGCTCCTGGGCTATGCACTCACATGGGGGCAGCTAGCTAAGTGCTCCTGGGCTATGCACTCGCATGGGGGCAGCTAGCTAGGTGCTCCTGGGCTATGTACTCACATGGGGGCAGCTAGCTAGGTGCTCCTGGGCTATGCACTCACATGAAGGCAGCTAGCTAGGTGCTCCTGGGCTATGCACTCGCATGGGGGCAGCTAGCTAGGTGCTCCTGGGCTATGTACTCACATGGGGTCAGCTAGCTAGGTGTTCCTGGGCTATGCACTCGCATGGGGGCAGCTAGCTAGGTGCTCCTGGGCTATGTACTCACATGGGGGCAGCTAGCTAGGTGCTCCTGGGTAATGCACTCGCATGGGGGCAGCTAGCTAGGTGCTCCTGGGCTATACACTCGCATGGGGCAGCTAGCTAAGTGCTCCTGGGTAATGCTCTCACATGGGGGCAGCTAGCTAGGTGCTCCTGGGAAGTGCATTCACATGGGGGCAGCTAGTTAAGTGCTCCTGGGCTATGCACTCACATGGGGGCAGCTAGCTAAGTGCTCCTGGGCTATGCACTCACATGAGGGCAGCTAACTAAGTGCTCCTGGGTAATGCTCTCACATGGGGGCAGCTAGCTAGGTGCTCCTGGGCTATGCACTCGCATGGGGCAGCTAGCTAAGAGCTCCTGGGCTATGCACTCACATGGGGGCAGCTAGCTAGGTGCTCCTGGGAAGTGCATTCACATGGGGGCAGCTAGTTAAGTGCTCCTGGGCAATGCTCTCACATGGGGGCAGCTAGCTAGGTGCTCCTGGGCTATGCACTCGCATGGGGCAGCTAGCTAAGTGCTCCTGGGTAATGCTCTCACATGGGGGCAGCTAGCTAAGTGCTCCTGGGCTATGCACTCGCATGGGGCAGCTAGCTAGGTGCTCCTGGGCTATGCACTCGCATGGGGCAGCTAGCTAAGTGCTCCTGGGCTATGCACTCGCATGGGGCAGCTAGCTAGGTGCTCCTGGGCTACGCACTCGCATGGGGGCAGCTAGCTAGGTGCTCCTGGGCTACGCACTCACATGGGGGCAGCTAGCTAGGTGCTCCTGGGCTATGCACTCGCATGGGGGAAGCTAACTGGCTAGCTAAGGGCTCTTGGGCGATGCATTGCTTCTGGGCATCACTGCACAACATACAGAAACTGAGCACAATGCTGGCTTATGCGAGTCTAGACACAACAAGGCCAGAGATTCCGAGACTTTGCAGTCACTCAAAATCAACTCATTCTTGCGAGAAGCCAAGTGCAGGGAGATGTTTGACCAGGAAGTGTGGACCTGGCAGGAGTCCAGCTCTGCTCCCGCCAGGCGGGAGCTCCAGGCGAGTCTGCGCTGGGCTTGCTGAGGGCCCTGGTCCACCCTCAGGGGCGACCACTGCAGAGCTGTCACCTGCAGAGACTGGGGAACGGCGTATGGAGGGGACAGCAGGAGGTACTTCTGAGCCCTGCTTGCTGTGGTTGGGAGCGACCGTGTGGCCCTAACTCATCTCAGACCCTTCTCATCATTACAGTGACTGACAAGCACAAGAAGGTAGCAAGGGAGGAAGAGTGAATGTTATCCCTTCTGTTTCCTTTGAGGGGCCTATGTTTAGGCAAAAAGGGGGCTGTCATTGAGGCAGCTCCGGCTTCTGGGGCTGGTTCCTGCCTGGGAGAACATGCACCCTGCAGTGACCCGGTCCCGGCTGCGTGGCCCTCACCACCCTGGGAGACAGACTCTGGGCCACCCTCACCCTGACTTCCCTGCTGTTATGGCTCAGGCTGGCTGAGGGAAGAGACGTTCTCATCCTGAAGTTTGTCTTTTAAGGGAAAGTAGAGTTAGGAGACTTGAGCCCTTGAGCTTAAGCCAAGCACGCCAACTGAGCCCTTGTGCCACAGCTCTGTGGCTGCGTGGCCAACTCATGCTGTGCACAAGGGAAAAATGCCTTGGACGTCCACTCTGCTCTGGCCCCATTTGCACCCAGCTCCCTCGAAGCCCCTCGGGAACCAGGGGGCACCTCATTAGCCCAGGTTTTAATATCCTGCTACCGCCACCTCCACACCAACGCACGATGCACCATCCACACGAGAGAGGTTGGCATGGGAACCAGAGCAAAATCTTAAACATCACCAGCTTAGAGATTAGAAACACGAACACAGAACTGCAGCATAGAATGTTCTGGAAACACAAGTTTGATCAAAGTCTACGTGACGATTCTTAAAGAAAAGAATCCAAGATAAATAACTGGCGTCTAGCAGCAGTGAGCGCGCTGTGGATCAACTCAAGGACCCAGCGATGCTAAGTAAGCAGGCCTGACCGAGGCAGAGAAGGGGAGAAGCGCTGGGTACAGGGAGGAGAGACTCCTGATGTGGCAGTCGACAGTCAAAGGTGGAGGCATGGGTGCATTGTTTCAGAAACGCTTCCACCCCGCGGGTGAGAGAGAGTGCAGAGACCCCTGCGCTGAGGCGCAGCCCACCCGAGCCCTGGGGCTCGCAGAGCCTGCAGCGCCCGTCTCCCACGTGCCGTCCTACCTCGGCAGGTGGGCAGAGGGCTACTCCACTGCCCGTCGCTGCGGCACTGGGCTCGAGACGCGCCCTGCAGCAAGTAGCCCGCGTTGCAGGTGAAGTTGACCACGTCGTTCAGGTTGAACTCGCTGCCGTCTGTGAGGCCGTGGGCCGGGTTCCCAGGGTGGCCACAGGTGATGGCTGTGGAAGAGGACAGGTGGCGTCACTGCTCGTCCCGCTCGCTTGGTCTGACCATTGAAGGGGCTGTGTCACAGCACACGTGGCTTTTACCTTTGTTTTATTGTTGATTTTTTATTGATTTTTTTTAATTTTTTTAACTTTTATTTAATAAATATAAATTTCCAAAGCACAACTTTTGGACATCGTGGGTGGACCCCAGGCTGAGACTGTGGGTGCTATTTTAATGGAGGAAAATGACCAACCCCTGCCAGACATTCTTTATCATCATCGTGATTTTCTTACTCAGAAAGTGACAGGACATCAAACGATTGAAAAATGAAGCAGTGGAAAACAAGAGGTGCTGGAGATGCTTGGATTAATCATGATTTGTGAGTACTTTCCCCCAGGACACAAAGGCCAATTTTGTGAAATCCTCATTTTGAAGCATTCCATCCACTTGTTTGGCACCTTCAATTGTCTATGGATAAATTATTCCAATATCATCTTAAATATCACGAAATCAGCAAAATAACTGTGCATACTCCAGAGCGACTGTCATCAAGAATTCTAGTGTACGTCCCTTGGCCATGCTGGGAATTGTCATTTCTCCACACCCACATAAGGGCAGCACAGAGCTGCAAGGGATCTTCAAAAGAAACACAGGATGGTGATTAAACTGGCATTTTCCTCCTCATTTATCTTGTCATCCCAGAACTTTTTATGTTATCACAGCACTAGCACCGAGAACACCTGCCAGCTCCCTGTAGTGACAAAACTGCTTCTGCTTAATTCACAGGACAACAAAGAGTGCGCTAGCAAAACCGTCCATTCAAGAAGAATCTTGGAATCGGGGTTGCTTGTGTCCTAAACATCAGCAGTCGCTATTTAAATCTGGGTGTAGCAGGTGAAGATAATCATTTTGTATATTTTCACCAGTTTCTACGGAAAGACAAAACCATATTCTCCATGAAAGGACGGCAAACACAGCACAGAGGGTTGAGGGGGTATGGTTTCTGGGAGCCAGCAAGCTGAGGGTCCAGCTCAGGGTCTGCCCTGTCACTCACCATCGTGTCCACCCAGTCTGTCCTGTGACAATGCCAGGGGGAGGAAGCCACGGCACCCACTGAAGCGAATCAACAGGCAAACCAAAGCTCACTGCGTGTGCAGGAGGGTGGGAGGGAAACAGCATGGGCCAAGGGTCGGGAGAGCAAGCTGGAGACCGGGCGGGGCCCGCTCTGTGCCAGGTGAGCGGCACAGCCTCCCTCGGTCTATCTGGGGACTGAACGTGTTTGTCCCACGGCAGGAAGCTGCTGAGCAGCTGGCGCGCTGGACTTACGGACGCAGACAGGAGTGTGCCCGGACCACTTGTGGTCCTGCAAGCAGATCCTCACGGAGGTCCCCACCAGCCGGAAGCCAGGGTTGCACTGATAGACCACCGTGTCTCTGTAACTGAAGCCGTCACCACTGATGTGGCCGTTCACGATAGGGTCCGGGGAGCCGCAGTGGCCAGCTGAAAGCAAGCAAGTCCAAGGTTAAAAACGGAAGATTATCCATCTGGCGTAGCAAGCGTGCGTCCATGCTGGGCTCACTTGCACTGTCAATGACAATGCTGGATACATAACACAATATCTCCCTTACATTCATATATAGTACAGATGCTTATTTTACAAAGTGTTTCTTTTAAATTTGAATGTTTTTTCTCAATATTTGGAAGTAAAATAATGATGATGGATGCCTAGAGTTCAGGGGAGACATTTCCTGAAGAGGCAGTAGACTCAGGAGAAGAGGAGGAAGCTGGGGTTTGAAACTCAGTGCTCTGGGCCTGGCTGTGTGTGCAGAGAGAAGGGAGACCCAAGGGCGACCGGAGCGGGCACAGGGCACGCTGGGGCGGAGGCCCCTGAAACATCAGAATGCGCCCGGTGAGTGTGGTGGAGGGAGCTCTGACGGGGTGGTGGGGGGGGGCGTCCAGCTGGAGAAGCAGGTGCAGAGATTCTTTGTTCTCCGGGCACTGAGCGGCCGGGGCGCTGCCTGGTGCAGGCTGTGGAGAGGGGATTCAGTCTTCTCCAGCAGCACCTACTACCCAGGTCCACTCCCCGTCCATGTCTGCCCTGCCCTTCAGCCCTCTCCTGCCTCCCCCCCTCCTTTGTCTTCAGCCCATTTCTCCTCTGCTCCCTCCTCATAGATGGAAACAAAGTCTCCTTAGTCCACGGAATACGGGCATTGAGAACAGCTCACATTTAAAAGGGTCTGTGTCCATGGGTTTGGGATGTGTAAGAGGGGGAAATGTTCACTACAATCCCTGAATCGTTCATTCACAAGGAGGAGGGCGGCGAATGTGGCTGAACAGATGCAGACTGTCTCGCTGTGGACTCCCCTGCCACTCACTCGCCCACCGAAGTCCACAGCGGCGGGCGCCCTACGCTGGGCAGAGAACACCGGAGCTGGGAGAACTGTGCACTTGTCACGGTGCTGCGCTTGGGGTCAGCCTCGCCCTTCTGGAAGAATCTGAGCTTGCCATCTACATTGCCATGGAAGACCGCTTTGGGGTCTTTGTGTCTTCCGTTTCCTACTGGACCTGTCAGCAAGGTGACTCCATGAAGGGGAGATGGAGGAAACCACCTGCTCTCTCTGCCTCGAGGCACACAGGAGGTCAGAGCCAAACCACCGCACTGCGCGGCTGACCTCTGCCCTGCCAGGTCTCTCATCAGCTGACTGATGAAGTCAGCTCTGTGCAGACCAGACCCGTGCCCAGCCCATGCAGAGGGGGCTTGTGTGAGGCCCAATGTTCTCCATGAACTGAATGGAGCCCTAAGTGCTCTCAGAGGGCACACAGGACACTGGCTCCCAGAGCCGCCCGTCCCCAGAGGCTGTCATCGTGGGGAACGGATCTTCTGTTACTGCAGTCCCAGTGACCGAGCTCGCCGGAGTCTGAGGAGCTGCAGGCCAGCTTGCCCAGGACATCTCAGGTGCAGAAAACATCTCATTTTCAGAAACAAACGCCACCATGACACATCAGGTCCTCCAAGAGGCCACCCGCCTCCTGGGGGTTATTCTGGACAGCACTGGGGGTTCCTGCTGAAGCCTGTCCCCACTGTCACTCCAGGAGGGAGGACTGGGGATGCAGGCCACAGTGGTCCTGAAGACAAGTGCATGGCGGCAAAGCACCCTGGCTCTGGGCCTGTGCAGGCTCATCCTTGATTTGGACCAACACGACTGACCAGACTCACTTTAAACCTGAAGAAAAATTGTTCACCACTGTGTTTTGAGTGCATTTGCCAGTGAAAGTCCAGCAAAGAAGCCCGGCTCCTGGCCAAGATGGTAATGGCACACTTTAGGAACTGGCGTGTAGGGGAGGGTGAGCCCAGGTTAGAAGTCAGGATGTCTCCCCCTAACTCTTGTGTAACTCATGGCCACGGCAGATCCCAGAGGGACTGGCCCTGAGCACTTCAAGGAAACCAGAGTGTGTCTCTCAAAGGCATCTCAGCCCCTCGACAGGCGAAAAGCGGCAGCATCACCACCTGCATCCTTAGCTTCCAATGTGAAAAGCACGGACCACACGGCTTCCCAGGCTGAGTACCGGTGGACACGGCAGCTCCCAGCTATGGAGAACTGTGGCTTCCCGATCTGCCTCGACGCGGACCACAGGGCACCCTCATCTGGAGCCAGTACACAGCTGTAGATCACTCACTCTCCAGCCTGCACTGGATCTCCCCTTACAACAGTCACAGCCTCAGAGCAATCACAGGCTGCCCTTCAACACAGAACGTCGCTTATAACACAGGTGACATTAAGAAGCTCTTGCTCTATAATATGGTGCTGTAACCTTCGTATGTAGTTTTTTAAACCCTTATGTGGTCCTGGTTTTCGGTCACCAACACCACACACGGAAAGCATTTTTCTGAATCCACCACCCTATGGGTGTGGAACTGTATCCACGCTTCTGCAGGGTTGAGAATACATCAAACATCAATGTATTTGCAGATATGAGTAGAAGTGAAGTAACTTTGCCACTTGACACGACTGTCCTTAGCATCGTCACTCCAAGTACACTGCCTACGCTGCTACTCTCATCTATTTGACAGTGATTAACGATGCTTTCCCATAGCTCAGCAACGGTCTTGGACCACTGAGTGAATGAAGACCCCGGTGCGACCAGAGAGCAACAGAGTGATGGACAGAGCACGGTCCTGAGGGCGTGTGCTCGACCCCCATCAGAGGCAGGCGAGGGAGCTGCGTCACACGGAGGACAGAGCTCTCCACAGAAGGGGCCACGTTTACGATCTGAAAGGCAGTCTAGTCGTGGAAATCAGACATTAGTTACTGCTTGACATCTGGCCTCTGTTAAGATATGAAGACGGTAGTTACGGGGCCAGACTGTGCCTTTCCTGGGGGGCAGCCACTAGGAGCTTTCCACCTTACAACACTGTGTGTGTTTTACTCCACTTCCTCTTGGTTCACCTGCCAAGAGTCATTTGGTTGCTAAAATTCTACTGAGCCTTTACCGTAGAAGGCAAGGTAAGCAACACTACTTCCTGCAAGATAAAGAATGACAGACAGACAAACCGGCATGAGTGCAGTGCCGCCCACTTCTCAACAGGTATCTAGTGACCTAAATAAGGCAACGTGGTCACCTGGTGGACGCCACACCAAGATGCCAGACTCCAGGGTGCTTTGGTTTTTCTAATCGTTCACTAGTTTATTTTTTTTTTTCCTTTCAGGACATTTGGCTTCAATTTAAATAGAGATCACCTAATGTTTCCCACAGGCAATTCTGCAGCAAAAACAGTCATACCTGGGAGGTCACAAAACCTTTCTTGAGAAGTGTTAGTCTGGAAATCGTCCTGTTAGTGTGTGAGAAGAAAGGCCTGGAGGGCCAAGTGTGTCAGTCACTCTTCTTACTCTCACATCAGTTTTACTCATGAACTTATTAGTATGCCCCTAATCGTGACCTGATACAAATGACCAAAGAATTAGAAGATGCTATACGACTGTCACTTCCTGTGATTTTAGTTCAACATATGTAGACAGAAATATCCAAGGGAACTGCTCAAATTTTAGTTCATGCATGAATTGATACTATTACCACCAGATTTCTAGAATCTTACATTATATTCTCCACTTTCTCTACATTTCCCATGCTGAGCACAACGTTGACTGCACAAAGATCAATTCGCCAACCGCCCCTACTTGCTGCTGAGAGCATCAGTGGCAGGAGCCAGACTTGGATGGCAGGGTGCTGGTTTCGTCTGCTCAGATAACTGTCTGCGACTCACTCTATACCCCCAAACCAGCCCTCACGAGGGCTCTTCAGACCAGCTGAGCCATGGGGGAGGAACCCTGTGAGACTCCCATACAGCTGAGGTCCTGTGTGCACCATTGGCAAGTCCACATGGGCTGCCGTGTCTGCACAGGGATTCCCTTATGCCTGGAGCTTGGGAGAGCTCTGAAGTCGACTCCCTCCTATAGGTAACGGAAGCTGTCTTCTTGCTTCTGTCTGTAAATGGTATTATACCTTGGTCAGACTGTCCCAAATAGCAAACAAAGAATTTATTTTAATATTTAGACATTCTCTAAAGTCGGGTTTAGAAGAAATAAAATCTGCCAGACTGATTTCCCCTAAGCATAGAGATCAGTAGCAAGGTGGACGATGCACTGAGTGGACTTCAGTGCAGACTGGGGCAACACATGGAGGAGGAGCCAGGAGATGCCTCCTGTCTTGCTATGGAGGGTTTCCTGCAGGCGGCATTGGTGCCCAGAAAGTGGCCAGGGTCCCTCAGTGAGTCTAGCGCAGACTGCAGGCTGCAGGGGGCACACGGGAAGCCGCCATTCCATCAGCACCTGCACAGCGTGGTCGGCACCCAGGACAGGGAGAGGGGTGGCGCTCTTCCTGTAGTTCATGGAGTTTAACAGAGGACAGCAGGACCTCGGCGAAGCCAGGCTTTCAGTGCCTCTTTCTAGAAGACAAGACCTCTCTAAATTCTGCTGCACAGTTGTCGTAGTGAAAATCGTAAACTGTTCTGAGAGAACGATCGTTTCTCCTGTCCTAGAAGAGGACTCTGAAAATGGGTTCTTGACTGAGTGGTTCCAGCAGTGCCCTGGTGTGCACCCCAGCAAGAATCCTGCCCGTTCCTGGGAAGCCATGTCCTGGAGAGGAAGCCTTGCCGACAGGCAGCTTTGGGCACTGACTGATTCTGTTGCTTTGCTGGGCTGCTGCGCACTTGTTTTGGACAGTGCAATGGTTCCCACTCTGCAGCTGGACACCAGTGCCCTGGCACTCGGGGCGACATTCCTGAGTGACTGGCTCGGGCTTCTCTGACCATAAAACAGAATTCACCGGAACCTCACGATACGCGCATGGATGCAACACCTCGAATGCAAGGAAGGCAGCCGAGAGCTTCCCAAAAGCTGTGCACCTGTGGGACTTTAGCAGTGGGTCACAGTCTGGCGACTTAGTCGAGTTCACTTTTCCTCTAACCCCACAGAAAACTGCTATAGCAAAGGGAATGTCCC